TACAAGTAACCGTGTGTAAAGCACAACTAAACAGTGTGACATTTTTTAAAAATTAGATGGAGCTTTATCTATTTCAGTACAAAGCAGTTCAGTCAGTCATGTTCTCCTCTTGCATGAAGCAATGGATACAAGAGGCAAGAGAAATTTCTGTAGTTGAATCCTTTTTTTAAATCTCAACCTGTTTTAGTAGGCGCTTAGTGCAAGTGATTACAAACATCCCTGAATACACTGTCATTATGCCACACACCCGTACCAGTCACTAGGGAAAAGTGAAGCACAATCATGAGACTCCTGCATTATTTAAGCAGTATCACAACTAAGCAGAGTGCATACCCAAGTGCTGTTCAGCTCCAATATCCTGGGTGTTCCCACTCTGCTGTTAGATGGCTGCACTGCAGGGCTAGATTTCTAGATTGGTTCCTGATTGCCATAACCCAGAGGTAGGGGCAGTGTAGGTTGTATATACCCTCCGTACGCTGAGGGTGAAATCCAGATCAGTAAATTATAGCTGACAAATTAAAAAAGAAAAAAAAAAAAAAAAAAAAAAAAGCAGAAAAAAAAAAAAAAAAAGCAGCAGCAGGCCTGAAAAGAACATTTTGGTAGCGCATTTTCCTGTCCACAATTACAGTTCCTATCTTTCTGTAATCATGAAAATCACTTTCCAGTTAACACATATTTACAGTGTGCTTGTTTGAACCAAGAAGCCTGCCTTGAGTTCTAGAAGTGATATTTAGATATCTCATAACAGAGAGAGACAGGTGGGCAAACACTTTCTGGAACCTCACACAGAGAGTGCAGTGAGAGTGGTGCCACAGCTGAAGTGAGTACAACCATTCATCTGAATCAGTCAGGAAACTGAAGCAGAAACTGGTTTCAAATAACTGGTCATATTTTCTATAGGAATCTTTACTGTTCCCTTGGCAAAAAAACCCTGCTCAATGATGATCACCTACGTGCAGTTGTATTTCCTTGTCCTTGCATGGAGCTTGCGTCCAAAGCTTCAGGTGCCAGCACAGTCTGACCTGCTGCCCACAGAATCATAGAGGGGTTTGGGTTGGAAGGGACCTTAAAGACCATGTAGTTCCAACACCCCTGCCACCTTTCACTAGATTAGGTTGCTCAAAGCCTCATCGTACCTGGCCTTGAATGCTTCCTTGAAAGGCCATCCACAACTTCTCTGGACAACCTGTTTCAGTGTCTTATCACCCTCACACAAAAGAATTTCTTCTGTGCTCTGTCCAGTGGCTTTCCATATGCTCAGGGAAGTCCAGCTAAGCCAGAACGTGCTCAACACACAGACCCTGACATAGCCAAAACCCAAGGCTCCCTGTAGACATATGACTTAGATTTTTTTTTAATGCCTGGGGAAACTTCCAGCTAGAAGAAAACAGTAATACTTACCTTGCTCTTATAGTGGTTGTTTCTGGCATGTGGCTTTTAGGCATGTGTGGAGCTGTGTGATGGTAATTGCTTATGGAAAACAGGGGATCATTTAAATGCACAGATTCACCTATGATCTTTTAAATCTGAACATGTTTTGGTTTTTGTTTTGTGTTGGGTTTTTTTCTATCTGAAAGTAATCCTTTTTTCCATAATCCTTGTTTCACTTCTTAAAAAGGGAGTAAGTCACAACCAATGGCACATCCTTAATACGTCAGTTACACTGCATACTCTTCTTCCACAGGCTGAGACAGGACACCGCGGGTGTTATGCGGGCCGTCGCACCATTGCCTTATTTACGGTGACACCTGCTGGCAAAAGCAATCTGCAAAGGGTCTCCCTATTAGAAGGCTTTTTCTGTGTTCGTTCTCCTATCTTTGGCATTTCCTTCACACCACATCTTCATCTTCACATCTCACCACTCAGTTGTCCACAGACAGTTCAGCGTTTTAGACTACTGAATACAGACTTTGTTCTTCTGATGAAGGTTTCCTGAACCAGTCACGAAGATGAGCTAAACTATTTTGAGAGACTCAAGGTTTCTTTTGGGCATTAGGCAAACAGGCTGGAAGTTCTTTGGATAGTCTCTGAGTACAGTTTTAACAGACTTAACAATTAGTATGTTGTTGAATAGCATGGTACCATGACTATTGCATTATTTAGTTTGATACAATAGTAAGTTATTGCTCTTATTTATCACTGTATTTGCAATGAAATAGGTAACAAATACTATTTAAATAATCTTCAGCAATTTTTGTATTGATACTGCCATCTGCAGATCCAGGGACACAGCATTCTCCCAGCTATTCATATATAGGTACCTATGCTTTCTATATAACCATAACAATTTTAAAACAAATTTGGAACATAAATTTGGATGCTGAGATTCTTTGTGATTTTCAGGTAAATTGTTTATTCATGAAATCGCAGACTACATAAGAAGCTGGAGTTTAAACAAAGGGAAAAAACAGAAATCAAGTACAAACTCCCTAAAAAACACCAAGGATGACTGGGTTCCTGTTCCTTTTTTTCCTCAAAAATGCCAAAGTGCTGGGTTTTTTTCTAATTTTATTTTATTAGGAACACATTTCTGTCTGATATTCATACTACTGTAGAAAAGAGGAGAACTGGATGCAAAATGTTGATATTTAAATGGCTGATGCCTTATTCAGAATATTTTCAAATCAGAGACAGAAAAAATTTAAATCAGATCTTCATAAAAAATAAATTTCATCTGCTGCATGCAACCTGTACAATTTACATCTAAAAAAATGAAACTGTCAGGAGCATCTACAAATTATTGAAATTTATGTACTCAGGAATGTGGGTGAAATTTAATAAAATAGAAGTGACACAGGAATTGACTGTGCACATCAGTTCTGTTAATCGGAGGCAGGGAATCTTTGTTTTCATATGACAATCCGGTACAGTCCAGTCAGAGACATTCCCTGTCTTCAAATTCTGCTGCACAAGAGAAGCCAACACAGATCACATATGCAAATGCTTCGCCACAGTGAAAATTTGTACTTGGCACAAATGATTGAGATGTTGACAGAAATAGGCAACAAAACATTAGTTTAGAAACATTTTTGTTTAAGCACTTCAGCATTATCTTCTGTCTCACAAAGACAGCAGGCACCCAGAAAAGGCCATCTGTCCATAGAGTAAGTACTTTATGAATAAAAGGTATGGAAATAACAGTATCTAAGAGATTAAGTCACAGACTAAAATTCTATTAGGTTAGAACTGTACAAATTTGCAAGACTTAATATGAAAACCAAGCAAGTTTTCTATATGTGCAGAACACTGGTGGAAATAAAACACTACTGTATTTTTGTAGGATGCTTTGTAAGATAAGGTTTTTCTCCTAAATCCTAAAGAGATGCCAAAGAAAAATGAGCATAGGCAAGCAATGGTAAACCAAAAATGGAACAAACTCATTACAGCTAAAACTACAAAGCAAGATCAGACTGGGCAAGGGAGGAACCAAAATATAAGTTGGGTCAGAAGTTAGAGATGTAGCCTACCTAGAAAGAGTGATAAAGGAGATTGTCACAATGCTTTTTTATAGTAGTTAATAGATAATAAAAGAAAAAATATCTCTAGAGCAGCAGTCCTCTGGCATTTGTACCTTCATGCTGAGGCTGTGACCTGAAGGTGCTCTAAGTCTCAATTATTTGCAACTTTTAACATCTGCAGGCTACGCAAGATTATTTATAGCAGTCTGCTCCTTGCCTACCTATAGCTACAAGAATCTAAATCCCAAATTTCCTTTCCATTCCATTTATAAAAATGTATTACATATTTCTTTCTATTATGTTATTTTATTCATATGCCATATTCCACTTTTTTTCGGTGAAGTTATTTTAAAATTGATTACTTGGAAGACTTAGTTGGTTTTTTTTTCCTGGAATTGATTCCTTGAATCCTTTTAGGTCCCAGTGCATGTCTGGAAGGCCAGCATAGTCCTGTTTGCTGAAGCAAGAGAGAGACAAATCTCTGCAGGGGCAGAGAAAGCACAGGTATGTAGCAAGTGGGTGTATGGCAGCAAACAGATGTCTGCCTGATCAGCCCACTGTACTCCAGCATGAAAGACAGCTACTTCCCAGTTTTTTTCTCTGACATAAAGAAAATTCCCAGCTGTTGTTAAACTCTGTCTTTGCAACATGAAAGACATCATGAGCATGACTGGCAAAGGCTATAAACACAGCAAAGCACACTTCTTCCCTTCTGTGCCAAAAACAGCAGAGCTGACCCCATGGCTCTACTGCAGTTTATTTAATTCTGAGAATAAGTTTATTGGTGACCAACCAAGCAGCCATATACAATTCTTGACAGCTACTCTTTTCAGAAAATACCCTATATGATTTTGGTCACTGAGCATTTCAGTCTTCTTAGTATAAAGGCTCCAAGTGTGTCAGAGGGTAAACAGTTGATCAAAGAGACCTGCAGCTGAGGGGGTAATGACATATTTTAGCCTTGGTTTGCTCTAGTCATCTTAGTACAGCATGGAGCTCATACTTGAGATTTAATTCTCTGGGACCATGTCATGTATTCTGGTTAAGACTCAGTGCAGCTTGGGCATAGAGTAAGCTAGTGACTGAGGATGCAACTAAATGCTTAGTGACGAGACTGGGTCCATGCTCTCACCTTACAGTTGCAGCAGAAAGCTGTTCCCAAAGGATTTCAGGCAACTGAACATTTCTACTCTTTTTCAGATGTCTCCCATTCAGCCCAGATGCAGTACCATGCTAGGTCAATCTAACCAGAACATAGCATCTCCACATTAGAAGACTTCTGTGAATGATGTCTTCTTCTAAAACTTATTTACATAACACTATAAAAATAGTCAATAATTCAGAAAAGCACTGTCAGAAACTTTATGGACAACTGATTGCACGTCTTACCACTGCCAAAGGCATTTTACATGGAACATAAAAAAGATAGCTAATGAGGGGTAACATTTTTTTCCAAAACTAGAGCTGCAGGCACTAGTTATAAAACTGCAGCCTTCTCTGTAAAACTTCCATCTTTTCTATAGAAAATACAAGACACATTCATAAAATTGATTTTTTATTTTGATAAAATCCTTATAAATACCAAAGCACTGGATCAACTCCACTGTTTTCAATATGTAAAAAACATGTAAAACTTTTGTTTCTGATATGAAGCAGTAGCCTTATTACTTTCTCTTCTGAGGCAAACAAACTTTATAACCCTCATGCAATTTGTAAACATTTTGTTCATGTTCTGCAGCTACTCATGTGACAGGGAAACATATCAGAACCAACACTAAGTCTAAAAAAGGGTGTAAAAACACGCAACACATTCCTGCTCTCTCCACACACACTTTCCAGATGTCCTCATTCAGAAAGAACCAATCTGAGGTCTTTTCAGCCGCATTCCTCTCACTATGCCAGAAAACAAAAAGTGCCTGCAGGTCTTTCCCCCGTGGTTAATACTTGTACCTGCTGCCACTGACAAATGTCTTTTATTTCTCCCATGGTCTATTTGTGTTCTTTCCTTCAGAAAACATTCAGAAGGCATCAAGAGGCCTTGCAGCAATTGTAGCTCTATTCTGGGGAGGAGAAAACAAAAAAAAATCCACCTATCTTAAACTCAGCTAAAATATCTATGGCTCTATGTCTAATTTATTCAGTTATAAGAAGGCATATAAAGTCAATCCTGATTGTGATTTCCCTCGTGTTTGTCCATCTAAGATCAAAAGACTTGTTGAGGTAAAAGGCACAGCCTATATAACCTATAAAAAAATCAAATTCATGGAAAGCAGTCATGGAAGTCATGTTAGAAGTACTACTGAGTTTGGTGGTAGTTACTACAAATGAAAACTCTACCTGCCTCTTTCAGGTATCACTGGTTTTTGCTATGTAGTTCTCACAGTCTGAGGGTAAATCTAATACTATACTAAACTACATCCTATGGCAAGTTCATTAAAAATAATAAAAATAAATTTGGTGTAAAGCAATTATATTCAGATAACAAAAGCTCCTGAGAGAAACACAGGCTCAAGTCAATTCATAAAGACAGACATTTCAACATGTCGCTGTTGAGGGTTGATCTTTTATTAGACATTGACTTGATTCTGATTTCTTTGGCTTGCTCTAACTGCTATCTTTGGTCTTGAAATAGAAGTGCAACCACCCAAGTTCAGCTATGACAGCAGAACATCAGCCAGTACGTAGGAGACATTACATACCTGAGTAGTGCTCTGCTCCACTGCAAGATGTGAGGTATGCAGCATGTGTTTCACACTGCAGCGTGCAACATGTCTAGTATGAGATGGACTGGAGCAACAGCTACCCCTGCCCTCTGATTTTAAGTGGTAGGAGTCTGATGCTACATGGATATAGTGTTACAGTCCCTTATTGTTCACCAAATGCAACAGACTGGATTTAGGAATGAATAGTTCCCTCTATGACCTTCCACCTTGCAATTTTCAGGTTTCAGGACAATTTCATCACTATACGTGGTGGAATTCAGGAATACCTAATCCACCTGATGTGATCCTGCAATACACAAAATCTTTACTATTTGCTTTTTTCAGAAAAAAATATCAATCAGTACATCGTTACTGTTATGCAGCAGTCAGAGTAACAGAATCACATAAATATGTTTTGCTTAAATGCTGTTAGTCATTATTGCTTTTTGTGGGAAGGTAAACACGGTATTGAAGAAGTCAGCAATGAATTATATCAGCCTTGAAATTTTTTTTTTTGAGAATTACAGTGTGAAGTCATATACAGAAGCTAAATGTTATGTTAGAGACCCGAAGAATAATCCCAGAACATTTTTTTACTGCCATTAATATCAGGGATCCTGTTCAGTAATTTGGTGGCAGATTCTGGACAACTCCTTCACTACATCTGTCCCTTACTATTAGCATTGCCCTCTGTGCATGCAATGCTAATGCTTCAATGCTCCCAAACAAACACACCTAAACACAGTCAGACCTGTTAATATTGATGAACCTGCAACAACTCAGGACATACTTGTGTTTGAGAAATGACTGCATGGTAACCAGTAATCAAACAACACTTATTTGTTAAAACAACTCACCAAAAAAACCAAAAACCCAACCTAAAAAATCACAAAGTATATTAACTATTAAAATTAATTCAGCCTTTGGTTTCAGAGGGAGACTACTCAGGCTTTACTGCTTTAATTCCTTCTGACTTCTCGTCCCTTTAAAGGCTGGGGAGGCCGGTAGTTTCTCAGCAAGCAGCAGGCAACCTCATCTTCAGCAGTGCTCAGGAGGCTGCGGAATTTGGCTAGCTGCAATCAAAAGAGACATAAGGTTCAGCAGAAATCCCTCACACTCATACTAATGAAAAAGCATATAATGAATATTAAAGATACTTGGCACCTTTTTTTTTTTCCTGCCAGGAAGAATGGAACTGTATTTTTCTATGGCATGTGGGGAGTGGAAATTTCACCATTTCTGTCCTTGCAAATGAAAAACACCGACTACTAAGAAAATCTCCCAAATACTTGTCAGATTGAAACTGTACAGAAATATTATTTGTTTCCTATATTCACAATTTGTCTTACATAAGATGATCTAAGCCAAGGGGTTTTGTATTTTTAAATTTGATTTTAGACTTTGGAGATTCTGGAACGTTTCGTGCCAAAAATTAGATTTCTCATGTGCACCTGTGTCCATCTTCATGTTCAAAGACTACATTCGCAATTAACCTGGAATAGTAGGTGTAGTGCTATACAAAGCTTCTGTAATTAGAACTTTTCATATATTAAACATGTACTCAAACCGGGAGAGACTCCATATTCTTCCCTTGTGAAGACACAGAACAAGCAGTTATTCATACCTCCGCATAAGATTCTCTGCCTAAGCTGATCTCAGCAGAAACACAGAGCAGAGTTCCATGTCTAAACCTCGGGAAATCTGAGTCTGATTTCTGACTTGGAGTAGTAGTTTAGTATTTTGTCCAATTTGTAATATTTTCGATATTTACTATTCGTACATACCATCTTACTTCCTTCTAGGTTACCAAAGGTAGGACAGTACTAAATTCATTCCATTATAACAGAGCATTTAGTTGTTCAGCACATTACATCTTAGTTGCATTAAGAGCAAACAAAGTCAATACAATCTTACTTCACCCCATTCTAATCCTAACATTTGTAATTCAGGCTCCCTGTGAGTTTCTAAAAACTTAAAAATTATTTTTAATTTATTTCAACCTGAAAAGTGCACCAAAAAGTAGGTAATAATTTGTAAAGCCCTGAAGAAATATAAACTTGAGAAATAAGATTAAATGACAAAACAGTATCAGTCATGGTGATGACTGATCAATCACAATGGTGGGCATTACTGGAAACAAACATTTTTAGCTACATGCATGTTTATAAGAATATAGTACATTTATACTTTAATGCATAAGATATAGCTCCAGTCTGTGAAAAATGACTAGTAAAGAATCACTGTATTTGACATTGTTTCTGACACCATGTCCTCTGAACCTGTTACATGTGGGTGTTTTCATACAGTATTTCACATTTTAAAATGGATTAATTATATATTAGCCCAAATAAGAACCTTTTAACCTGAACAATGGCTTGTCTTTTGGAAATTGGTATCTTAACACAAATTTTAAATCCTAGATCCATATGCATTGCAGGAAGTCTTACAAAGTCAGTTTGAGGGGATTGGGGAAGAGATACATATGAGAAAACTGCACACGCTGAGCAAGTTCATGATTTCAAATCAGTTACAAACAGAATTTGAGGTCTCTTGACTAACAAGCATCCCATCCAGTGAACTTCGTATTTTGCACAAAGACTAAAGTTATCATTTCTGCTGAGAATGTGGCCTAGGGTACTAAATTCTCTGAAGTATTTGTAATATTGACCATGAAAGAGACAAACGTGGTGGTACAAAAACCTTAAGGCTTACATTGCGCCAAGAATATTGTAACATCTTATCTTATTGTAACATACTTATCAACATCCAATATTAGAATCTATAATCTGATATATTTCAGTGTCTCCAGTGGGAACTCTAAACTTAAAATGACCAGCCCACTGGGTGTCACTGTTGCAACATCAATATATAGTATGAAGCTTAATTTAACAAGAAATGTAAGTAGATAGTAGATTCCTCAGATAGCCTAACATAAACGCCAACTTATTCCAATTGAATTTGCTTTTTATTAGTCTACTAAATTCACAAAGTTTTATATGTCTGGAATCCAAGAAGAAATTCACTATTGATCTGCCAAATAAAAATGCCAGAGAAGAGGTCTAAGCAGGAGATGAAAATAATCAAATCGGGTGGAACTCCAGTACTTCCAAGTGTCACCAGAACCCTTTTTCCCATAAATTCCTTGTGAGTTATTTCTGACTGTTAATTTTTAGAGTATGCAGATTTTTTTAAGAAAAGTAGATAATAAATAGCTGTTATACAAAGAAAGGCAACAAGTCAGGATAAATTTACAGACATATTTTGTCTTTGAAAAAATTGATGAGGTATGCAATGTCCAAGTCTGCAAAAAATATGTATTTCTGTGTGGCATTTACAATTTCAAGTCCTAAAAAAGCAACAATTCTACAGCAGTGAAAAATAATAATAAAAAAATACCTGTTCAGAACAAACACTTATGGGCTCTCTCAGAACAATCCAGATGACACTCTCAAGAAGAGGTGGAACAGTGAGAGACCCAAAGTAAGTCCAGTAGTCCAGGGACTTGGGAAGCAGACAGCTAGGATCGAAGTTTGTGAATAGAGCTCTTTTACCCTGGAAAGGAAAAAAAAAAAAGCTCAAAGTGGTTCTAGATGAAATATATTTATAAATTTATTTCTTACACAAAGTTTTTTTTTAAAAAAAAGAAAATAAAAATCAGGGCAGTATTATTTAAAAACAAGAGGCCAAGATAAATCATGCCAAAGGCAGCAGAGCTTGTTCCACTGTAGGGTGGGCTGCCAGATTCCTGGATGATCACAGCAGACGATCCCCTTCTGATGGGGACCTACCTTGGCACCAGCTTTGCTGCTGCTGTCCTTGATGCCGGCAGGACACCATCAAAGTGCCATGAGAGGCTCCCCATAGTTACAAATGACCAGGAGATGGAAGTTGGAAGGAGAGGTGAGAAGATGTTGGACTTTCAGTGCAGTCTCTATGGGGCTGGCAGAGTAACCCCACAGGTTACTGCCACCTGCCTCACTCCTCAGGGCACTCCTCCCAGGCCCACAGGTTACTACTTCTCCTGTCCTGGCTGCCAGGGCAGAGATGCCTGGACAAAACATGATGTTGTGAGTCTGGCTGATTTCTCTCACACAAATAGCTTAGTTCTCACCCTACCTCAGCAAAACAGAGGAGAATCCTTTCCATCATCTTTTTCACAACTTCCCATATAATATGTTCTCCCGCTACTATTCTCATAGCAACAGATTTGTCCCAGACTAGTTTCTGTGAGGAATTTTTTTTTTCCTCCGATTTCTTATTGTATAAAAATTATTGTTCGACTGCTTAGTTCTCAACTGTACCTAAAAGAATGTTCCTAACCAGTCCCAAATCAGAGTTGGATATGGATAGCTAAGAAATTAGGTACTAGGGAACATGGAGGTGACGGGAGGAGCAGCCAGATTACCAAAAAAAACAAAACAACAAAAGCAACCACCAATACTAGTGTTCTTTTAGAAGCATTTGTTCACCTTGATTCTGATGGTGTCCAAGCGGTCAGTAATCTTCTTCAGCTGAGGGTTGCACTCACCAATCTATTAACACCAAAGAAAAAATAAATAGTTGAACTCCAGAAAAAAACAGCAAAAATAAATAATCAAAAAGCAAATGCATAATGAAACTGTTTATATATAACTTTACTTAAGTGACTGTGAGATCTGATGCATTTTGTGCGTATGAACCTGTGACTAGCTGGTCCTTAGAAATAGTACTAGCTGTTAAGAAGATCCACTCCCTTGCTGCCATTATTTAAGCTGGCTATTCATAGTAATTATTTCAGCTACAAAAGACCCACAAACTTTACACTGCAGGGGAATAAAAGCAATTTATTTTTCATGTTTTATATGCAGGATATTAAAAGTTGCAGACTTACATCTGAAATTTAAATTGCTTAAAACAGTGAAAACATCATTCTTACCTATCTCAAGCACATTTTGTGTGTGAAGAAATCCAGTGAAACATTCTTTGAATCATTATAATGTAAACTGGAAAGACAGAATTACTGAAGCAGGTCTTTGCAACCGCTGTATGTCATGACTCCCTGACTATGCCAGCACCAGCATCAGCACTAACTGTGCTCAGTAAGCTGCGGCAGCCAGGCAGAAACCACAGTTTTGACCAAAGGCCTATCCTTTGTCATGGACTGTGTGAATTTTCCATCTACTTCTTCATACAGATGTCAATGAAGCTGTTGCAAGAGCTTAATTTCATCTTAGAACAGGTACAAAAGGCAAAGATGTATATAACAATTAAAAGGAAATTCTCCAGTTTCTCAGTCTGGGTTTATTTTATTTATTTTTCAGAAGAAACTACCACTGCAAAAACAAACTGTTAAAGAAGCATTTGAAACAAGTAAGATGACCCTCCTAAAGAAACCTGTTAGTCAAGCACAAATTATTGGGATCCACATAGAATCATAAAGTCATAGAATGGTTTAGGTTGGAAGGGATCTTATAGATCACCTAGTTCCAACCCCCCTGCCATGGGCAGGGACACCTTCCACTAGACCAGGCTGCTCAACCTGGCCTTGATGAGGATCCTTATAGGGGTGGGGCATCCATATAGGGGCAGCTGAATTAAGTTCCACATCCTACGTTGTACAGGAGTGCAGACTGGGAAAACTGAAGAGCTTCACTGTCTTGAAAATCTATTAATTTGATATTTTTATCTTCAAGGGAAAGGCAACAGTATGAAAGAAACGGGGTAATTTAATGCCCATATAAAACAAGTAGCTCTTTAGCAATAATTATACCAACCATCACCATTATGCCTTTGGGCTTATAATGCAGATTTATTAGGAGGGCTGAGGCAAATTTTTCTTACCTTCAGAAATACAGCCATGACTGCTAATCCATCTGACTGACGAGCTGCCTCAACAAAACTGGAATACTTTTCTGCGTTCCAGTGGACCACATGAAGCTGAAAAGCAAGAGACACAGACAGCATCAACTCTCGCTGAACTCAAATAGTCACAAATGAATACTACAACTTTACTGATTTTCTCTTTGTACTTCACTCTTTGTATTCAGAGCCATTCAGTTTTCTAAATGCAATTATTTTTTGAAACTGGTAAATACATAGTTCACACAAATGGCAAAATGCATTTCCAGTGGCTGGGATTATTAAAAATTTAGCAGCAATCAACACATTACAGTGTCTGGCAAACTGCTGTTGGGTTCCCAGATTTTGAACAGAGAAGCTAAGACAGGATATCCCGTGGTTATAAAACTAAAGCTTTTAAATCCATTTTTCAGTACATCTGGTTTTAAAAGTGACTGACAATCATGAGAATGTTACTAGTTGCTCTTTTTTCCTTATTCAAGCTTTCAGTAACATTAATCAGCCACATAAGTAGCTAGAAAATGGGCAGAGGAACACACATTAAACTTGTACTGACCCCTTCCCTTGTTTAGTTTTAACTGAACATCAAAATTTAGTTTTTGATACTTTCCAAATGCCATTTTCTATGATTACCGGTAGTTAGGCACTTACAAGCAGCTTGATTATCTCAGGTTTGAGCATCTGCATTTCCAACATGCATTATTCTGGAACTGTCCTGTGGTAGTTGCTTAAGCTCAAAGACACCACTTAGCCAGGTGGGGAGAGGAAAAGCCAGTGATGTCTACCCTCATACCACCTCAGTCCCTCCTGCTAAGCCAGGTTTCCTAAATCCTGGCCACACTCTACAGCAGGAGCTTCTGGTTCCCGGGAAGCACCAGGTCATCCCAGCCTTGAGCAATGGTCCGTCTGCCAAACTGGAGAGAGCACAAACACTCACACAGCGCTTAAGACTAAGTACTTCACAAACATTAATTACTCTCAGAAGTCCTCAGTGGACTAGTAACTCTTATGACCCATAGCTTTTAGATAAGGAAAGAGAGGGTCAGAAACAGGGCATAGGCTTGGCTTTTCTAAAATTGGTGATCGTCTTTTCAGACTTTGAACTTTACTCTTGAATGACTTAAACTGGGATGAACCCCTGGGAAAAAAAAAAAAAAAAAAAGCCTTGCCCTTGGAATACAGCACTTCAAGACCTCCATAGTAAGAGCAATATAAGAAAGCTGGTATTTGCTTTAAAGTCTTTTTATGGGAAACAACATAGCTGTGTGATTGAAAAAGGAATCTAGGAGTGTGAAGATTCTGACTCTGAATCTCAATCCTTGCCTAACCTCTAAGAATTTTAATTTTCCATATCTGTAAAACAGAGCCATTACTTAGTGTCACAGGGTATAATTAATGTTGATTAAGCACTTGGACTCTCAAGTGCTGAAACATTACTTCCAGCAAGTAAGAATCCCACTGAAATCAGTAATAATACAAGGTATGCTCACAATGAAACACATGCTGGCTCACAGCTTCAGAGATCCTTGAAGGAAAGTTGCTGAAAACATTTTAAATTAAACTTGGAGGAGAACACAGTCCACTAAACCATTCTCAGATGCTTTAGTATCCTGGAGCTCATAGCACCTTTACCACTCACTAAGTTCACAAAAACTACACTGAACAACTTTGAAACAATTACATTTTTACATACACAAAAATGAAACAGATACTCTCAGTCAGAATTGACTTTTATTGTGGATTTTTAAAAAAAGAAAAAAAACAACAAAGAACAAAAAGCAAAATTCCCACAGCTAAATAAAGCCCACTCCCACTCCCTCATAGCTTTGCCAAAAAAAACCCAAACCAACCTCCCCCTAAAAAACAAAACCCCAAACAAACAGAGCTGTGCAACACTTTTGGGTACAGCCCCATTCTCAATGGCTTGTGACTTCTCTTTAAGGAATATATCCCGTCTTACCACCGCTCTGTCACTGCAGCTTGTGAAGAGACCTTGATCAGACCATACGTTGTCACAAAGAATGGAGCCATGGATCCCTTCTGCTTCCTGGTGGGATTAGGGTCTGAACCTTGCAGTCTTCTTTACCTGTACACTAATTCTTTCTTCAACTTGGTTGATGCTTTTTTTTTTTTTTTCAATCTTACACATCTTCCTTATGAAGGTGAGCACTGAAACCATCTTCGTGTTTCCTTCTGAGGTATTTTCTTTTGTATGACCAGTGCTCAGAAGCCTTGATCTTAATTCTGGGTTTCTTATCCCAAAGCCAAAGAGTCATCTAGAGAGCTTCTTGTGGAGGGTTACCCAACCAACAGGTAACGGAAAGGTTTTTAGACTGGCTAGAAATTCAGAGATATTTTCGCCTTCCATTTGGTTTCTTAGATGGGAAACATATATATATTTTCTCAGCTAGAAATTTGGTTTTGGTACTTAATGGTTTTAAAGCACCTCTATTAATTCTTTATATTCCATCTCACCTGGTTCCTGTGGAAAACATAAGCCTTTAAACACTGCAAATGTCACTTTTCCCCATTAGTGTTAGAAAACTGATTTTTTTTCTGACCACTATCTCTTATAGCATTTCCAGTAAAATCTGACCATATCACTGTTCATACATTTAATTTTTTTCTTCTTTAGTATTGTCTTTTATTTGTCCATTAACATTTATTTTTATACTTTTTACTTCTTTTTAACCCCAGAAAACTCTTCACTGTCTGCACTATTTGTTGTTAAAGATCTCAGTCTCATCAAATACTCCATGTTACTTCCGTTTGCAAAGAGAATTCAGGTACTGAATACTTTTTACTGCAGACTACTCAAATGCACCAAGGAGACAGAGTGGGAGTGAATTCTCTGTGCCAGAGCAGACGGTACACTTCTCCCTGTGGCACACTACCTCCACAGACAGCTGGCACCCCACAGATATTAAGGTCTGGTTCTCAAAGAAAGTAGTAACTACCATATTGCTAAATGCACCACAAAATGCAACACTCCTAAGTCTTGCATAAATTTTACATGGCACAGGCCCCAAATCAAATAATTCTGTGGTCTGTAACTGAAGCTGACTTTGAAAATATTCTCCAAGGAAGAGACAGTGAAAGACAAAGTTTTAAAATAACTCTTGACATTAAATCTTGCTCATATCAAGCTCTTGTCTTCTGTACTCCTTTTTTATTCCTCTCCAAAGCTTTCAAATACATTCTCTTTTGAGAAAGGACCAAAATACAACACTTCAAGAAGACCGCTTGTCTTTTAGTAATGGGGGGGAGAATGAAAAGCAGGAAAAGGAGGGGCAACATTATTCTTACAGTGGAAAACTAGTCACAGGCTTAGAGGTACAGAAGACTCCGTGTAAAGCCTTACCTCTGCTGCGTACTTCATCCCATCGACCGCATGCTCAGAGCCGGCTTCGTCATTGGACCCCCAATGGAAGTGAATCTGGCGCAGCCTGTAGGTCCCGCTGAGTGGCCCCCCGGTCAGCACTGGAAATGCAAGCAGAGGAAAAGGCTTCAGTGCAGGAACAGGAGCCACTACCCACATCCTCTGACCAGACTTCAGTTTTCAGACAGTCCCTTACTCCTTCTCAAAAGCTGTCTCAGATGGCTTCCTATTTCTTTGAAGTATACAGAAACCCTCACTTGTCCAGAATACGACTTTCAAAATTGCATTTATGTGTAGATTAGTGGGTTATGGCCCACTAAAGGGTATGCATATTGTTATCACCAGGTTTGTCTTGCTAAGGGCTGGATATTTCTCAGAAGATGGGAAAATATTTCTGTTTTGCAAGTGGTTTCCTCTCTTGAATGTATTTTAAAGAATCACTGAGAAATTAAGCTTAAAATACAGGTTTTATGAATAAAGAGGAGGATCAGAAAAATATAATGTGAACAGAATTTATTCTCTTCAAAATTTGGAGGAAAGTAGGTGGAGCTTAAAATAATTTTCAAGGCTCTTTCTGTCAGCTGCAACTAGATCCAGTTACATCAGATTGAAGTCTGAGAAAAAGGAGCATATATTAACATAAATAAAATGAAGCCAACTATATATGCATTGTACAACTGCAATATTACTGACACTTAATGAGCCATTTATTTCAACTTAACAGGCATATGGGTGGGCTTTTCATTGTTTTGCTTTCGCAAGTGCTCGTCTTTGCTAATCAGAGTTGGAATCAAGCCATCTCTGCATAGAGACTTGAACGTCAGTCACATTCAGAAAGATTCCTTATTCACCGCAAAACAAATCACCCCACTCTCCTGGCTCCATATCTTCTCTGAGGGTTTGGGACTTAGTCTGAGCTGATTTACTGGCTCATTACAGAGATTTTAATGGGAAAGAATGGGAGCTTTAAACAGATGTTTTTTAAACTAAAAGCGCTGGAGAGGACAATAATTTTTTCTCTCTTCTAGATTTAGTCTAAAACTTAAACTTTGTTAGGAACAAAATACCACCAAATAAAGATAAAAGATTAATTTCTTAAGTTGTCTGTCTGCTAAGTATCCTGGCTAATGAAAAGAAAGTGGAACTGTTTATCTGTTGGGAGAAATATTTCACAACCTTAAAACTTCAACTCTAAACCATGCTTTTCCAGAGCCTATAACATAGTGACCAAAGGGTATGGGAAAGTGGCACTCCTAAAACAAATTCCTTCTTTCAAGGAATGAAAACTTGGAGACAAATAATCCTAGAAATGTGTAAAGACTGGTGTTCTAACTGGCTGAAGGAAAACAATTACATAGAAATGCATCAGCATTCAATGAACTACTTCTGCTGAAAAACATAGAAAATAGCCTGATGATGTATTTGTGCCACATCAAACAGTGATGGCAAAACCCTTCCATTCCAACAGTAATTAAGGAAGAGGTCAGTCAGAAGTTATTTAAGGCAAATATCAGCATCTCAGAGCCTGAAAAGATCTGGAAGAAGAGGTCTTTGAAACATCAATAGGTCAGTTTCAGAGAATGGAGCTAATATGGTATCCAAGAGGATAAACAGAATTACAAAAATAGTTACAGACTTGACAGACCAGTTTCAATGCTGGCCAAAGTGAAAAAATAATTCATATAGAAGTCAGTTAATGTATTAAAAGATGCTAATGTATTTAGTACCAATTAATTTTTTTTTTTTCATAGGAGTGCTTACTTCACAGGGGTGCCCCAGAGGCCAAATTTTGGCCCTAGAAAATTCAGTATTTTTTGATCAATGACCTGAAAGAAAACAAAAACATTACTGATAAAGTTTGTCAGTGACAAGTATTAGGGAAAATCATGAATAATTCAGTTTATGGATACAGAAGGATTTGAATTCTTTGATAAGTACTGCATGATAATGGCCAAAATGTAAAGCTATGTATGTGGAGTGAAGAATCTAGTCCATACAAAGATATGGAGTCTCCTGAAGGAGACTGGAGATTACATTTGTTAACTATCTGATCAACATCTGGCAGTGCTCTGCTATGATATGAACTATATCCTTGGAGATATGGCCTGAGGAATGTGATAAGAAGAGGATCACAGTGTCACTGCTTTGGTACCATTGTAAGCTTACAGAGACACTATATTCAGGCCCTGTCACTTCATGGATGGAGTTAGAAAGCAGAAGAGGTTCTTGGTGTACTCATATTCATATTATTAGGGTTTGTCGTTTTTTTTTTTTTTTTAAAAAAAAAAGGAAGTTTAAAGGCTGAGTTGATCTAACTCACACCAGAAATAAAGTGCAATTTTGATTTTTTTAAATTGTGAGGGTAATTAACAATCAGAACAACTTACCAAAGGCTGTGGTAGGTTCATCATCGCTGGAAATTTTGAAATCAAGATTGTATGGTTTTCTAAGAGATGTGCTTTAGTTCAGCCACGCCTACTAGGCTTGAAGCAGAGATGGCATCTGACACACACGAGGTCAGATCAGATCACTGACGGTCAGCTGATGGCTTTCAGGCAACATCCAATGTTGCTTGTATTAACAGGAAATTTAAGAATTAAACTAAGACTGTTTGGGAAAGCGAAGTATGATGTTGTCTCCATCTAGGTCTCTCTCTGATGCCACTGTAAGTCAATAGTTCCTCAGGACTAATGGATAGGGTGATCGCAAACCAGTTCGCCTCTGGCTCTAACCCTTGTGAATGCACAACATGGGCTTGGATCCTCAACTAAGCCTCACGCAAGCACAACAGGATTTCATTGCTTGTAGAAACTGCACTCCTCCAGTTTCAAGGCAAGGTGTGCTAGCTTGCCTAGCATCCAAGAGAAAGTTTTAAAGATGAAGGCACTAACATTACAAAGGCTATGCAAAACCAGAGAACTTCTAAATAAGAATTACTTCTTGCAAAAAGGGAAACTACATACTCTCAGAAAAGACTAGAACAATAACACTTTTCAGAGAAGACAATGAATCACTTGGGATATATTTAATTTGTTCTGTATTGATTCCTTCCTGACACAAAAAGTCCAGGTATGGACTGCAAAAAGGGGAAAAATATATAACCAAACCTGCAGCTAAAGTCAGATAAGAGACTTGAGCGATTCGGTTGGAATGAACCTGTAATGAGACACAAAGGATTCATCTGCAGTGAGAGAGAGCAGCATTTGAAAATTGTACACAACACTGTTCAAACAGGGAAGCTGGCACTATCTAGCTGTTTGGGGGTGGATCAAAGCATCCTTGTGAAAAGGGAATCCTCGAGCTTTCTGAGAAACACAACTTCAAACTTGTGTCCAAATATGTTCCCACATTGTATCATGCCGAAAGACAGGGAAAAAAGGAATCTCTCATCTGAAGAAGCAAAGCTTTACTGTTGATATGCGGCAGTGAGACATACCCAGGCTGTATGTACTCTATTCAGGAAATGGTGGAAGAAGACACAGTGCAACAGGAAAGGAACAAACCTGATTTGTTGACAGTGTCATCAAACTCAACACTGGTGGAGTGTCCATTGTTAAGGATGATTTTAGCAGAAGCTGGATCATAATTGGGATTTAGAGGACGGAGAGAGGGATCATACTTGGTTTCCTCAGTTTTGATGTCAATGGGTGACTGACGGTCTCCATTAGCGACAGGAAAAACCTCCTTCCAGTGGGCAGGCCCTGCAATGCATTAGAGAAAAAATTTAAATTGATGGCAAGTACCCTGCTTAGTATGAAAGAAGACTGCTTCGATTGTTCTTGTCTTCATCTTTTAAATTCAAAAAGGACACATCAGGAAAACACAGATCAAAATATTCAGCTAATTTTGCTGCACCACATTGCAACAGCAGCTCTAAGGACCCTTTATCTACCTTGCATAGTGTAGCTAACTGTATTTGACCTTTGAACAAGGCCACATGCATTAGGTAGATATTTAATTATTCACAGTTAAGACTCAACTATGCACAAGACATATCCAACAAGTGCTCATTCAAATCAGGCATCCGGTATCCAACAGGCACTCTGCCCCAATAAATTTTTGACATGCCATTTTTACCTAATATCATGTCTCATTATGTCTTTTTAAGGATTACCTCTTATCTATCCAAATTCCCTGAATTAAGGGTTTTTTTTTATACCTTAGTCAAAGGCCTGAGAATACATCTTCTACTGACTATGCTGAATGAGATGGGGAGATGTCAAAAAAGACAAAAATGCTGCATGGTGCATGAATTCTCCTGGGGCCTGATGGCAGCGCTGCATCACTGCACAACCCATCATCACTGAACACCAACTGTCACAACACAAGAGAGTCACTCTCTAAACATAAAGTCTACACACATGCACACACACACATACATATACACACACACTAGTACAGTGCTGACAAAATCAGCAAACAGAAATGCTCAAGACAGTGGTGCTTGTGCAAGGTTTGGATTTCTACCACCTCCTGCTGATAAATGAGTGTATCTCCCAGACACAGACTTGCAACACCACTCACAAGAGTTAGCTAGAAATTAAAACACTAAAGAAGCTGTTAACCAATACTAGTGATATCAACCTTCCTCTCTGCATACAAGCTAAGCCAAAAGTAGCTGAAAAGCACTGTCTCTCTAAATCAATTAATATGGATATGAGAAAAATGGCAAATGTCATACTAAAATAGTAAGACAAGGTTCACAGATGAGATGTGTGAGGTGTCTGTGGTTAAACATCAGAGTCCTCAGTAAGAATATATGTGCCATGGTTGAGCCATATGTGAATAATAAACAATTGTGGAAAGAGGCCATAGAAGAGAAATAGAAACAATAGGTTGCTTGGGGAATATGCTCTATAAGGTAAAGATAGCAAACAAGGTTTAGTATGGGAAAGAGAGTAAGGTAAGGGAAAAGGGAAAAGTCTGCAGGGCTAAAGATCTTTCAGTATTATAAAGAGCATAGCACTTGTTTTTCCTCCAGGCTTATCAGGGGTGAGAAGCATAATAAATCGACTCAGAAAGAATGGATATTAGCAAAACTTAAATATGAGCATCAGGAACTGATCTTGTACAATTTGCATCGCTGAAAATCCTCATAACTCCCTATACTGAAAGTAACTGATATTAGTTAAAAAATCAGCCTGCTAGTTTGGGTCTTTCTGGATGGTTTAGCACTTAAATAAACATTATGACAACAAAGGATTAAAATTTATTACACTGTGATTAATAGCCTAACATCAAAAGTTGTCAGATACTTTTCTCTCCTCGACTTTGATAGAAGTGAACATAGCTCAGAAACTCACAGGTGCTAAAATAACCCAATTGCCCCAAGAGTAAATCAGGGAGGGAAGCGTCCCAAGGCGCTGTGGGGAAGCAGCTTGCACAGCCACCTGCGCAGAGACTGACTCTCCTTTGAGCAGCACCAAAAAATGGAAGAGGGAAGAAGTACCTTGTAGAGACCAGCCTAACACTTAAACCTCAGATAGAACAAAGGCAAGGGCCTTCAATCTTGAGTTTGTTAAAAAGTCCTTTTGTTAATGACTTCATTAACTAAACTCATTAAGGAAACTGCTTTTAACGTAGAAGATAAAAATCCTACTGATTTGAAATATAAAGCTTAATTCTTCTCACTTCACAAATGGCCATCAAATCTATTCACTATTTTAATTAAATTTTAGCATATGATATATTTTTGTGTTTAGATCCTAGCACCCTGTAGTTAGAGATGCAAGGCACAATTTTATTCATAAGCACCACTCCATCATTTATACCCAGCTACTGTGATTTAGGATGCTTACAAAAAGATTATTGCTACTTAATTTTAATGTTTTAGCTATTCCTTAGCTGAGAAAAGGCAAAATATGTTTATGTGTTTAACTACTTGGTCCTATTGTTCCATCTCAGAAATAACTATAGTTATTGTACATTAAATAATATGAATTATTTGCATTCAGAAACAATATGAATGTGCAAAAAAGAGGACCTAAGGCTGCGATTCTGTCATTAGCTTCAGTTCCAAAAAGACATTGTGCCTGCTTTTATACTTGTCCTTAGCTCAGATGACCAAACTCATGTTTTGCTGTAGTGACTAAACGTCTATCAGTAACATAAAACTGCCAGAAATCTTATCTTTCAAAAGTATACAGGAAAATATTAAGAAACTTCAGCTCATTTTGTACCACTAGGTTATATCAGGTGGTATTCCTTACTAGATTATCTAGCAGCAATCTAATACAGTTACAATACTCTTGCCACTCTAGGAAAACTGTGACTCTATTCATCACTATGGACCTCACCCCAAAGCAAACTTTGTATGTGAGTGTTGGAAAAGAAGTTGTTACAGTTGGAAGAGATGCTCAAATGCATGTAATACACGTATTTCAGTGAGATTTAAGCCAATGGGGTCTCCAGGGTGAAAATTTCTTCTTTATTTGGACCTGACTTATATGCTTCACCTCAACATAATGTACACTTTAATTTTTGAGATATGTACTTTAGGACATACCCAGGAAACTGTAACTCACCGATTCACCTCCCTTCCTTTTTTTAATTTACTGAAGGAACATGATTAAGTATACCAATTTCTGAATTTATGAAATCCTCTCCTGTTGATGGGGAAAATCTGTTCTGTTGCTAGAGGAGATTATGTACAAGCTTTTAACAATCAGAGCCATTGTGACCAAGATTCAGGATGAAACACTGAACCATTAGCTCCAAAAATAGCATGCCTTTATTTTGGACACAGAATTACCACATGCAATTCACACCTCTGCCACCTTTAGATCAAATTATCACTATTTATGGAACCCACCAGCATTATACACATGCAGTTCATGAAACAGATCTTATCATGAAGGCAGTTACAAATTTGTCAGGAACTAGAACTCGCTATAGCACCTAACAGTGGTGCTTTTTTGCAGCTGGAGTTAAAAGATCATAAGTTTCATCAGAAGGATAGACTAACTTGAAATGAGACTGGTGGAGACATTGCAGGATACATTTCAATTGCAATGAGTCTCTATACTTGGATAAACAGAGCATGTGCAGGTGAAAAAGTGGATTCCTTTTTTTTGATAGTATGCCATTATATGCAGAAAGTTCATTGGCTTGGTACAGTCTGACCTTGGCAGGACCACATTCTCATTTACTCCTAAAGAGAATTAATTGCCCAGTTTATCATATACAAAATGCTTAAATTTATAGAGTTAGGTTTCTAAGTAGGTTATGTGTATATTAGGTTACAATAAGACTAGCTCAAATAAAAACAACTGGAAATTCATAATGGGTAAAATTAAGTGCTGTTTTTTAAAGCAGACATCAAAATTATGTAATTATTCTCAGGGAGGAAAAAATAGTATAAGGAATTACTGTTGGACTCGAAGATCTTAAAGGTCTCTTCCAACCTAAATGCTTCCATTAATTCGTATCCCTTCTTACTTATGAAAAGTCTCCGTGTTATTGTAGTAACTAGATCGAGAGATGTTTTTGCAGCAAAAGACAATACATTTCCATATATTTTATTAAACAAATAGTAAACTGAAGGCAATTGATTCTTGATTTGCACTTTAACTAAGACAATTGCCTAGTTAACTAAAAGGATTGTTTCTGTGAAGGGCTGAGAACATTTCCTTCTTCACAGGAACTTTGAGCCAGCAAAGAAACACATGCATGATGCCACACTGACGCCCATTTTCAAGATCTCAGTATTATGTCTTCACACATAAGCAGCAACTAAACTGTAAGTTAAGAACAGTGGCAAGAAAGCAAAGGCCAAGTTTTGCACAGGAATAAAATAATACCTCTTTGCATTTCAGAAATACGTGCATCACAGCAGGGGAGAACATTTCATTCTGTGTATAACAGTCAACCCATGTCCTTATACATAGGTATACCACATAATGCAGACACGTCTGCGTAATATTTGAGTTTATGTACATAATGATTTCTGTTGTGATTATTATTGCTAAAGGGCAAATGAGTTTTCCCCTGGTTCAACAATAACCCTGCACTTTTATCACTGCAAGTAGCAAATGCAGAAAACTCAAGAGTGAATGTAGATGGCTTTCCAACTCTTCAGGAAGTCAACTTTAACACATGACACCACATTTAATTAATTTCACTTTGTTTCTACCTCATTAGCTGCAAAAGTTAATCTTAGTTTCAGGGAAACTACTTGCAGGGCCATGCAGGGCAACAAAATTTTTCAAGAATGAAAGCAATCTCCTTCATGTGGTATTCAGCCAAACAAGAAACAAGAAAAAACAATAAAATAAATGCATAAGAAGAGAAAACGCTGAGAAATAAAACTGATGCTAGAGAACAGCAGTGAAGTGTTAGATATCCATGACTCTCTCCTTTAGTCTCCTATGAGAGGTGGGGGAAGGGGATGGCCTGATAAGGAACTACCCACCCTGCAGCTGCTGTGGGGTCCAAGAAAGGAGAGAAAACCAGACGTCACCCCAAATATGTTATCAGTCAGTAAACAGAGTTCATAGGAGAAATGGGGCCTCAAGCAAGGTCCAGGGCCACCCCGATAGAATTTCTGGTGCCCTTCCCTTCCTAGAAGTTGAGAATAGCAAAGGAGGAGGGATAGGATAAGGGGGGGAAAGTGGGTTTCTT